TCTCCCTGTCTATTTTGTACCTACCATTTATGCTTCTTATTCCCTGTATCTTTTCCCCCATTCTTACCTACCCCCTCCTCCCTGATAACCATCAATGTGATCTCTATATCTTCGAATCTGTTCCTGTTCTAGCCGTTTGGTTATTTCGGGTTTTTTGTTGTTGTTGTTTTTGTTGTTTTAGGTTTGTTTGTTTTTAGTTGTGAGTTTTTTGTCATTTTACTGTTCCTGTTTTGGATCTTCTTTTTCTTAGATAAGTCCTTTTAACTTTTCATATAATAAGGGCTTGGTGATGATGAACTCCTTTAACTTGACCTTTTCTGGGAAGCACTTGATCTGCCCTTACATTCTAAATGATAGCTTTGCCGCATAGAGTAATCTTGGATGTAGGTCCTTACCTTTTATGACTTTGAATACTTCTTTGCAGTCCCTTCTTGCCTGTAAGGTTTCTTTTGAAAAATCAGCTGATGGTGTTATGAGAACTCCTTTGTAGATGACTACCTTCTTTTCTCTTGGTGGTTTTAAGATTCTCTCCTTATCTTTGATCTTGGGTAATGTATTATGATATGCCTTGGTGTGTGCTTCCTTGAGTCCAACTTTTTTGGGACACTGAGCTTCCTGGACTTCCTGGAAATCTATTTCCTTTGCCAGATTGGGGAACTTCTCCTTCATTATTTGTTCAAATAAGTTTTCAATTTCTTGTTCTTCTTCTCCTGGCGCCCCTATGATTTGGACATTGGAACGTTTAAGGTTTTCCCAGAGGTTCCTCATTTTCTCCTCACTTTTTTCAATAATTGTTTCTTCATTCTGTTCTGGTTGAATATTTATTTCTTTTTTGTGGTCCAATTCATTGATTTGAGTCCCAGTTTCCTTCCTGTCACCATTGGTTTCCTCTTCATTTTCCTTTATTTCATTTTTCATAGCTTTACTTTTTCTTCTATTTTGTGACCATACTCAACCATTTCTGTGAACAGCCTGATTACTAGTGTTTTGAACTCTGCACCTGATAACTTGGTTATCTCTTCATCACTTAGTTGTATTTTTTCTGGAGCTTTGATCTTTTCTTTAATTTGGGCTGTATTTTTTTTTCTTGGTGCACCTGTTATGTAGTGAGGGGCAAAGCCTTAAGTATTCGCCAGGTTGGGGCAACCCCTGTGCCTGCATTGTAGAGCTGTATGTGGAGGAGGGGTCTGACAGGGAACAATGCCGCTTGCTTGGCTCTTGGCAGGCTTTCTGTCACTTCCCCTGTTTCCCACAAGCAAATTGGGCCCTTCTGGTGCTGATTCCTGGGTGGGTGGTTTTGTACATTCTAGGATCCTCTGGGTCTCTCCAATGAATTCTACTCTGAGGACAAGAGTTTCTTCTGCTTACATAATTCCCACATGTTTTTACAGCCAGAGGTTTTGAGGCTTTATTTCTCTGCACTGGAACCCTGGTTTGCATCATCTGTTTCACTCCTCAGCTGTTCCTCCCAGTCTATTTGCATGCGAATGTTGGACCACATGGTCCTCCAGCCACTACCCTGCCATGAGTCCTCTCCACATTGCCTGCCCGCCTCTGCCCCTCCTCCTAGTCTGGATGAATGTTTCTTGTTTTACTCCTTGGTTGTCAGACTTCCATACAGTTCAATTTTCTGGTAGTTCTGGTTGTTTTTTGTTTTTAAATTTGTTGTTGTCCTTTGGTTGTGTGAGGAGGCAAAGCGTATCTGCCTATGCCTCCTTCTTGGCCGGGAGTCCTGTAGCCTTGGTTTTAAAGTCTTGTATTTTATCATATATAATTATTCCTATCCCAGTGTTTTCCTTTTCATTTGTAAGAAATATCTTTTTCCATCCCTTTTCTTTGAGCCTGTGTGTTTCTTTTGTTCTGTGGTGGGTCTCTTGTTGTGGTGACCCATCATATATGTGGGTCATGTTTTTTTATGTGTTCTGTGACCCTATATTTTTTGATTGGAGCATTTCTGCCATTTTGATTTACAATGATCATTGGTAGATACATATTTAATGTCATTTTATATTTTTAACTGTGTTCCTTTTAGTTTTTTTTTCTTCCTCTTAAAGTTAGCCCATTAACATTTGTTGTAATACTGGTTTGGTGTTAACAAACTTCTTTATCTAGGATGCTCTTTATTTTTATTTCAATTTTAAATGATAGCCTTTCTGTTTTAAGTAGCCTTGTTGTAGATTCTTAGTTTTCATCACTTTGAATATTTCATGACAGTCCTTTTTGGCCTGAAATGTTTCCTGGAGAAATCAGATGGCCTAATGGAAGCTTCCTTGTAGGTAACTAACTGCCTTTTTGTTTCAGCTTTTAAGATTCTTTCCTTGTCTTTAAGCTTGCCTTTTTTAATTTTGATGTGTCTTTGTATGGTCCTCTATGGGTATGTCTTGTTTTGGACTCTCTGTACCTCCTGCACTTGTGTTTTTTTTTCCTTCACCGGGTTAGGGAAGTTTTCAGTCATATTGCCAAATAGGTTCTTGATCCCTTGTTCTCTCCTTCTCTTTCTGATATCACTATGATGGGTATGTTGTCATGCTTTATGTTGTCCCAATGGTCCCTTAATCTGTCCTTACTCTTTTAAATTCTTTTTTCTTTTTGCTACTCTGATTGGATGGTTGTTTTTTCACCTTGTTCTCCAAATCACTGATTTGATCCTCTCCTTCATCTCACCTGTTTATTCCTTTCAGTATGTTATTTATTTCAGATACTGGATTCTTAAATTCTGACTGGTTCTTTTTTATGGTTTCTATGTCTTTTTACATATTGTTGAGCTTCCTTATATCAATACTTTGAGCTAGCTGATAAATTGCTTGCCTCCATTTCATTTAGTTTTTCTGGAGAATTCTTGTGCTTTCATATGGGGCTTGTTTTTTTTGTCTTTCCATTTTTGTTGACTCTATTTGTTTCTATGTATTAGGTAGATCTACAAAGATTTCGCTGCAGGCCTATGTCTGACGCTGGCCTGTGGTTGGCTGTGAGCAACATGTTTGCAGCTATCAGTGATCTATAGCTTGTGGTTCCCTATGCTGGGCCAGGGTGTGTACTGAAAGGACCAAGCTGTGCATCAAGGTTGGCGTTTACCAACACTGGGCCCCAGGGAGGGTCTGGAAAAGTTTCAAAACACCCTCTACCTGTAAGCTTCCTGTTAGACTGAGTCACTGAAAGAACCTCTTGCTGTACTCCTGAGCAGGACTTAAGCCCCACAGGGTGGGGCAAGAAAGATTCCTGTAGATGGGGCTATTATTTCCCCCTAGGTTGATGCTGCATGGATGGGAGTGCTCTGCAGAAGGAAGATGGCCTCTGCATTATGACTGAGCACAGGGATAATTGTGGCTGACCCTTCAGCTTCTCAGAGCCACCACGCCAGACTCCCTCATGTGACTCTACTCCACTATCCCTCCTTTTGCTAGAACTCAGGATAACTGTGAAATTTTGTGTTTTAGCCCTTTAAGGGGATAACTGCTTCTTTAGTCATTTTTCCATGGTAGACAGAAACCCTGGTGCTTTTCATGGTGGGATGTTATCTGGGTGCCTTCTCCAGTTTTGTGCTCTATGCTGAAGAGACCACCTTGGCGTTTAGACCCCGTACTTCTCAGGGGGAAGCTCACCTCATGGCCACCAAAATATCCCTCTGGAACTTCATTAGTTGCCTGTGGGAGCCTAGCCAACCCTCTCATGCCTCCTCACTTCCTACCATTCTTAATGTGGTGATGTGGTGGTTTCTTATGTAAATCATTTGTCAGATGGCAGGATTTTGTTCTTTTTTATTACTAATCATGGTGGTGTTGATTTGCATTTTTCTGATGGCTAATTGAATTCAGTTTTACACATGCTTATTTCGTGCTGCTTGAACTTTGTAGGTTGAAATCTTAAATAGGTAGTTTGGACTTGAGTTTGGGGCTTGGGAGAAAGAGCTGAGTAGTTGTAGGTTAGGAACAATTAGCCATTGTGTGAATGGAACCAAGCAAAGAGAGTGTGAAAAATGATAAAGTGACTTAAGCTGAAATCCTGAGGAAAGTTAGTAATTAAAGGACAGTGGATTAAGCAAAGGAGACTGAGAAGCCATGGTTAGGGAGATGGAAAACCAGGAGAATGTGGTGTCATGGGAGCCAATCAAAGAGAAGCTTTTAAGTTGGAAGAAAGGGGCAGTAGTAGGAAAGGTTGCTGAGGACTGGGCAGCAATGTTCAGAATTTGTCATAAGTAAGACATTTCAATGGGAGTACATAGACTGAGGCCACATTAGAATAAATTGAGTGCTTGTGAGGTAAAGAAGATGGCTCAGAAAATGTTGACAGAGTTTTAAAGAATTTTATGAAGGGTAGGAGTTAAGGTGGGTGCCCTCAGGAGTTTTAATTTCAGATGAGATGGAAGAGGTTGAAAATATTACAGTGATAGTCAGTATAGCACTGTCCATTAAAGAAGGTAGAAGGCACTGAGATTGGAGTCTATTTTTAATGGAGAGGGAAAGAGAAATGTGTATGTACTGAGTGCAGGGGCTTGATGTTCCCTTCTGCTGTCTTCTGTTTTCCCTGTGAAGATAGAGGCGAAGCTATCCACTCCAAATGGCATAGGAAGGAATGTGTTTAGAATGGAGAAGGTTTGAAATAAACACTGTGGAAAATGGGAGAGACAACCATGAACACAGCAAAAGATTTCTGACTGCATTAATAACTCAGTAAAGGTGTGAGACCATGAATTCACAATGCTACTACTTTTTATGGTGTGTAGTTTTTTTCCAGTGGTATTTAGCAATGTAGCACTGGGTCAGGGAAGATGGCTAGTGCTTTAGTTCAAGGCATGGGTTTTTTAGCTCAAAGTAAAGGAATGGAGAGCATAGGAGAAGAGTATCTTGTTAAGTTGAACTGGAGCGTGGAATTTAAGCTGAATAGGTGATTAATTCTGTATAGTACTGATCCATTTTGGGCCTCAAATTTCTAGAGTTACTGTAGTATAATCTCACTATGGTATTATCATTAAAACAGTTAAATCAGACATTTTATTGTAGTGTGAAACTTCAGCACAACAGAAATTTGCTGAAGAACTTCAAAAGCGAGAACGTTTTTTAGTTGAAAGAGAACAACTGCTGTTCAGACATGAAACTGCTTTGAGTAAAATGAAAGGAATGGAAGAAGAGGTACTTGCAAAATTTCAGATTATAAAGGAGGTAAGTATATAGCATTTGATTTTAGAGTTTCTCTTTTTTCTCTTAATTTAGATTTACTAGTTATTAGTATTTTGCCTCATATGCTTTATTTCTTCTCCTAACCCACTTCTCTTCTTCTCACTGATATACACACACATTTTTTTTTCATTTGAAAGTAACTTGCAAAAATCATGACACAAAACCCCTAATTCCTTTGTATTTTGAATGCTTATTTTTAGGAGTATATATTTCCTAGAATAAGTGCATTCTCCAGCTGTTATCATATTAGGAAATTAATGTTAGTTAAATAATTTAACTGTTTATATTCACTTTTCCAATTGGCTCTCGAAATGTCTTTTAATATTGTTTTTTGTTCTGTTTTATTTTTTGATCGAGGAAATAGACATAATTCATGCATTATGTTTGATTTTTATATATTTTTTGATTTCTTCAAATCTAGAGCAGTCAACTTTACCAAGTTTTGGTTTTTGTAAGACTTTTCTTTGAAGGTTCTAGGCCAGTAGTCGTATACGAGCATGTCGTATTCTTATTTGCCTTATTGTTTCTAATGATTATATTCAGATTAAATATTTGTGTATTTGTGTCAAGAATGTTATATAGGTGGTATTGTATCCTTTATTTCATATTAAGAGGTATGAATAAGTTACATAAAGTAGAATTCTTTCTGTTTTGAAATATGCATACAGTCTTGTAACATCACCATAATCAAGATGATAATTCTAGCTCCCAAAGTTCTCTTATGCTCCTTTGTAGTTATCTTTATCCCTTATTCTCAGCCTCTAAAAATGACTGATTTATTTCTGTCCCTGTAATTCTGCCTTTCTCAGAATATCATGTTAATAGAATCATTACATGATTTTTCTTTATCTTTGGTGTAGGCTGCTAAAACTCTCCAACTCTGCCTTTCACGCCAGAGAAACCAGGAAAAGGGGCCCCTATAAATGACAGAGTGTGGGGAGAATCTTGGTGATGAGATTAGAAAGAAGATCCTTTCACTCTGGCGTTTATGAACTCATACAAATCTGGGTTACCCTCAGTCTGCATAGCACAAGCCAAAAGCTGCAGAATAAGGGTAGAAGGATCAGAGTGCACTTTAAAAATACCACCCAAATCTCAGGTTAACTCCCTATCACCAATGCTGGAAGTGTGGAAAAGAATCACAGGAGCATAGTAAAGGCTTTGAAAACTGAACTCAGATTTAAGCCATTGTCTGAATCTCAGACTAAGCCTTAAGTGGCATATACAAAAGTCAATGCCAAAGCAACACTACAAAAGCTTTGAAAAGTGTACAGAGATTGGGTCACTGCCCACAAAAGATAAAGTTCTAACTGGGCTCACTACTAAAAAAAGTTAATAATAAAACCAATATTCTCCAGAGCGTTATAACAGGATTCAGAGTCAACACAACATACTATCTAAAAGGTTCTGGATACAATGCACAAGTCTCTGGACATGTAAAGAACCAGACAAATGTGACTAAGCCTCAAGATATAATGCCAATCCTTAGATGGTCCATATATTGGATTTTTAACTATGTTCCATGAGGTAAGTGTAAATAAATGCAAAGGGAAAAACAAATTCTCATGAGAAAAACTAAAAGTTAAGAAAATATACTGGAAATTTTAGAACTTTAACATACCAGAAATAAATAATTCACTAAATGAGCTCAATAGAAGCATGGAAATGGAGGAAGAAACACTGAACTTGATAGATAAATAGCGAATTTGAAGAATACAAAAGAAAAAATGAGGAAAACAAGAAAGACCTCAGAAATATGTGGGGTAAGAGTAAAAAAACCTAACATACAAGTAATTAGAAATCCAAAAGGAGAAGCAATTGGAACAGAAAAAATATTTGAAGAAATATTGGTTAAAAATAACCCAAATTTAATGAAAGACATAAATTTACAAATTCAAGCTGTTCATTGAACTCCAACAGGATCAATTCAAAGAAGAGCATGCAGAGATACAGCACAATTGAGTTGCTGCTGAAAACCAAAGGTAAAGAAAAATCATGTCATGATTATATTATCATGACATTCTGGGAAAGGCAGAATTACAGGGACAGAAATAGATCAGTGATTTTTAGGGATTGAGAATGGGGGACAAAGATAACTGGGTGCTAGACAAAAGGAAAAGAAAAAAAAAAACCCTAGGAAACTACTTACTTTAAGGTACTTCACCAAGTTATCATTTCTCTTTACAATTCCCTGCTTTGTTTTACTTTTACAGAATTTACTTTTAACAATTTTTGTGTTTTGTCTGGGGTTTTTACTTGTAATCACTAAGAGCAATAGGAGGTTATAGTGGGTTTATCTTGCCATACTGCAAATGAAACACATATTGTATGTTTTTAATATCTTTTGAATGTGTAAAACCTTGGAAATGAGAATATTAACCAGGTTTATAAAACAAGTATATTTCTTTTAATTATATTTTTCAATTACAGTTTATATTCAGTATTATTATGTATTAGTTTCAGGTGTACAGCAGCATAGTGGTTAGACAATCATATACAATACTTTATAAAGTGGTTCCCCCAATATTTCCAATACCCAGTTGGCTGCATAGATAGTTTACAGTATTGTTCAGTACATTCCCTATGTTGTACAGTATATCCCCGTTACTGTTTTGTAACTACCAATTTGTACTTTGTAATCCCTTCACCTTTTTCAACTAACTCCTTAAGCCCCCTCTCCTCTGGCAACCATCAGTCTGTTCTCTGCGTCTATGAGTCATAGAAGTTTATTTGTTTATTTTGTTTTCTAGATTCCATATAATAAGTGATATCATATATTTGTTGTTCTCTGACTGACTTATTTGCATAATATCCTCTAGGTCCATCCATGCTGTCACAAATGGTAACATTTTGGTCTATTTTTATGGCTAATAATTCCATTGTAAATATGTACCAAAACTTTTTAATCCGTTCATCTGTTGATGGGCACTAGAGTTGTTTCCATTTCATGACTTGTGTAAAAAATACTGCAATGAGCATAGGAGTGCATATATTCTTTCAAATTAGTGTTTTGGGTATCTTCAGAGATACATAGTTGAAGTAGAATCTCTAGATCAGATGAATTTAACGCACCTATGTGATTACTTGGAAGAACTCATGTTTTTTATTTCATATGTAAATTTGCATTTTTAATACATTGGGAATAAATTGAGAGTTAAGGGGGAAAGAAATAATATATTTTAAGTATATTTTGTTGATTATGCTGTTACAGTCTTCCCAATGTTTCCCCCTTTATCTCCTCTCCACTCTACACCCCCCAACCCTCCAGTTTTACCCCCCTTAGTTCATATCTATGGGTTGTACATATAAGTTCTTATGCTTCTCTGTATCCTGTACCATTCTTAACCTCTCCCCATCTATTTTATGCCTACCAATTATGCTTCTTATTCCCTGTTCCTTTACCCCACATTCTTCCCACTGAAAACCTTCCATATAATATCCAGTTCTCTGATTCTGTTCCTGTTATAGTTGTTGGTTTAGTTTTTGTTTTTGTTTTAGTTGTTGATAGTTTGTTGATGAGTTTGTTGTCATTTTACTGTTCATAGTTTTTGATCTTCTTCTATTTCTTAGATAAGTAAGTCCCTTTAACATTTCATATAGTAAGGGCTTGGTGATGATGAACTCCTTTAACTTGACCTTTTCTGGGAAGCACTTTATCTGCCCTTTCTTTCTAAATGAGAGCTTTGCTGCATAGAGTGATCTTGGATGTAGGTCCTTACCTTTCATGACTTCATATACTTCTTTCTAGCCCCTTCTTGCCTGCAAGGTTTCTTTTGGGAAATCAGCTGATAGTCTTATGGGCACTTCTTTATAGGTAATTCTCTCCTTTCTTCTTGCTACTTTTAAGATTCTTTTTTTATCTTTAATCTTGGGTAACTTAATGATGATGTTCCTTGGTGTGTTACTCTTTGGGTCCATTATCTTTGGGACTCTCTGAGCTTCCAGGACTTCCTGGAAGTCTATTTCCTTTGCTAGACTGGGGAAATGTTCCATCATTATATGTTCAAATAAGTTTTCAACTTCTTGCTCTTGTTTTCCTTCTAGCACCTCTATGATTTGGATATTGGAAAGTTTATGGTTGTTCCAGAGAGGTTCCTAAGCCTCTCCTCATGTTTTTGAATTCATGTTTCTTCGTTTTTGGGGGTTGGGTGTTATTTCTTCCTTTTGTTCCAGATCGTTGAGTTGAGTCCCAGTTTCCTTCCTGTCACGGTTGGTTCCCTGTATATTTTGCTTTATTTCACTTTGGGTAACTTTCATTTGTTCCCTTATTTTGTGACTGAGCTCGATCAGTTCTGTGAGCATTTTGATTACCAGTATTTTAAACTCTGCATCAATAGTTGGGCTATCTCTTTGTGGCTTAGCTCTTTTTCTGGAGTTTTGATCTGTTCTTTCATATGGGACATATTTCTGTGTCTTGGGGCACCTGTTTTGTTGTGGGTGGGGCTTTGGTATTCACCAGGGGAAGGCAGCCCTCTTTGCTGCCTTGTGGCGTTGTCTGTGGGGGAGGGGTCAGAGAGGGAACAATACAGCTTGCTTTGCTCTGCTCTAGCCTCACTTTCCAACGAATTCTGTCCTATGAGACTTGGAGTTTCCGGTGCCATGGCAACCCCCACGTGGTTTGTAGCTAGCTTGAGTCTTCAGTCTCCCACTCAACCAGCCCAGCTTCACTGGTGCAGTCCACCACCATGCTGTGGGTCCTCTAAGCCAGCCCTGCCTCTCTTGTGCTGCCCACAGCCTTGTCCCCTGTGTACTCTGCCTTGCCACAGGGTCCTCTCCATCTACCTGATTGCCCATCTCTCTCTGTTCTACCGGTCTGGTGAATGTTTCTTTAACTCTTTGTTTGTCTGAGTTCCATGCAGATTGATTTTCTGGCACTTCTGGTTGTTTATTGTTTTTAGATTGCTTGTTATCTTCCTTTCGGTTGTGCAAGGAAGCGAAGGGTTTCTACCTATACCTCCATCTTGGCCAGAATTGAAAGAAATAATATTCATACTTAAAGTTGAAACATGCTATCTCATTTAAAAGTAATTAAAGAAGAAACTGATTTGAATCTTTTATAAAACTGATTAAGGAGAGTCAAATAGTTTTGGGTCAGAATAATTTTATTATGTATATTAATTTTTTGAGATTTAAAACAATTTCCACAGCCTTGGCTGGTGTAGCTCAGTGGACTGAATACAGGTCTGTGAGGCAAAGGGTCACCAGTTGGATTCCCAGTCAGGGCACATGACTGGGTTGTGGGCCAGGTCCCCAGCAGGGGGCATGCAAGAGGCAACTAACCACATGTTGATGTTTATCCCCCTCCTTTTCTCCTTCCCTTCCCCTCTCTCTAAAAAGAAATAAAATCTTTAAAAAAAACCCAATTTCGACTGCTTTATGAGAACAAGAAATTACTTTGTTCTGTTTGTGGACTAGTTCTCCTTAAAGGTAACTTAACCTCCTTTTAATGTATAAAGCTATAAATAACTCATTATTATTTTGAAAAGGATCCAAAATTCTTTGTTTTATAATTCCATTATGTCAGTAGAAGTTATTTGATTGAATTTATGTGGTGAATTTTTCTGAGCAAAAGCTTTATTGCTGCTTAATTTGTGTAATGTGTTTTAATTAGGCATTCACAAGTGCTTTTAATGCTTGGTTTGTACTTTGATTGATTATACAGTTTTTATAAGTTATTTGCAATATTAGTTATGTGTGTTTAATATGCAGATTAAATTTCTTTTGATTCAGGGGGTTGTAATTTTTAATTTATGTTCAGTATTATTAGTGACAGGCAAACCGTACCTAATTTTTTGATAATATTGTTTTTCCTCCTAGCAACATGATGCAGAAGTTGTACACTTAACTGAAGCTCTTAAGGAAAAAAACAGAGAATGCAAGAGGCTAAGGTCTTCTTTTGATACTTTGAAAGAATTAAATGAGTACTTAAAAAAACAGGTAAGACCTATTTTAGTATTAGATTATAAGACATTCTTAGAACTATATGGTTTGTATCTAACAAATTATAAGTCAGTCTTAGAACACCTTCTGGCTAGAGAAATTTTTTTCCAATTACTAATTTTTGTATATGTCATCATCTAATTTTATAATGTTTTTATGAAGTATATTTTATTGATTATGCTATTACAGTTGTCTCATTTTTTCTCACCTTTATTTCTCTCTGCCTTGCACCCTACCTCCCACCAGCATTCCCCCTCCTTAGTTCATGTCCACAGGTCGTACATGTAAGTTCTTTGACTTCTCTATATCCTATACTATTCTTAGCCTCTGTCTATTTTGTACCTACCATTTATGCTTCTTATTTCCTGTACCTTTTTCCCCGTTCTTCCCTTTCCATCTCTCCACTAATTTTCTTAGGTAAGTCACTGTAACATTTCATGTAATGAGCGATTGATGATGATGAACTCCTTTAACTTGATCTTATCTGGAAAGCTCTTTATCTGCCCTTTCATTCTAAATGATAGCTTTGCTAGATAGAGTAATTTGGTTGTAGGTTCTTGCCTCTCATGATTTTGAATACTTCTTTCCAGCCCCTTCTAGAAGGGTTCTTTTGAGAAATCAGCTGATAGTCTTATGGGTACTACTTTGTAGGTAAGTCTTTCCTTTTCTCTGGCTGCTTTTAAGATTCCCTCCTTATCTCTAAACTTGGGTAATGTAATGATGTGACCTTCCTGGACTTCCTGGAAGTGTATTTTCTTTGGTAGATTGGGGAAGTTCTCCTTCAATATGTTTTCAAATAAGTTTTCAATGTCTTGCTCTTCCTTTTGTTCTTCTGGCACACCCATGATTTTGATGTTGGAACATTTAAAGTTGTCCCAGAGGTTCCTAAACCTCTCCTCATTTTTTTTTTCAATAATTGTTTCTTTATTCTGTTCTGGTTGAATGTTTATTTCTTCCTTCTGCTCCAGATGATTTGAGTCTGGTTTCCTTCCCTTCACTGTTGGTTCCCTGTATATTTTGCTTTATTTCACTTTGCATAACCTTCACTTTTTCCTCTATTTTGCAACCATACTCAACCAGTTCTGTGAGCATACTGATTACCAGTATTTTGAATTCTCCATCTGATAGGTTGTCTATCTCTTCAACACTTCATTCTATTTTTGGAGCTTTGATCAGTTCTTTCATTTGGGCCATATTTTTTTTTTGTCTTGATTTGAGTTTATGTAGTAAGGGGCAGAACCTTAGGTGTCCTCCAGAGTGGATCCAGGTTACTATGTTGTGGGAGAGGGGTCAGACAGGGAATAATGCCACTTGCTCAGCTTTCACCCAGCTTGCCGTCACTTTCTCCTCAATCCACAAGGAAATTGGGCTCTTCTGCTGCTTTTTCCTGGGTGGCTGGGTTTGTATAAGTAGGGCCTTGTGGGTCTCTCCAACAAACTCTCCTCTGAGGCTGGGAGTTTCTCCTGCCACTATACCCCAACAGGTTTTTGTAGCCAGAGGTTTTGAGGCTTTATTTTCCTGTTCTGGAACCCTGGGTTGTGTGGTTTGTCTGGCTCCCCAGTTGTTCCTCCTGGTTTATCTGCACACAAATGTGGGACCACGTGGTATTCCTCCTGGCTAGAGAAATTTTTGATAACTTTGTTTGGTAGCTGTAGTATTAAACTCTGGTAAATATAAAATACTGTTAAGTTTTTGATTTCTCATCCTCTATTCTGACAATCATGTGAGTTTGGCAAGTTGAATTTTTTTTTTAAGTAAAAGAAAGTACTAGATTTAAAAACAAGCAAAAGAAGAAAACCCTGATAACCTGGAACTGCTGTTACATACTACTGCTTATTTAACAGCATTTATTTTCTGAATATTATATTCTAGGCACTGTACTAGAAGGAAGTCTATACATTGCTCATTGTCTCATGAGTATAAACCAGTATCATATTGCACTGTGATTATTTTATGGGTGGTGTTATTTAGGGCAGTACTTGATTACATTGACATTGCATAACAAATATTTTAGTGAATATTTCCTGAAGTACTTGATTACATTGACATTCCATAACAAAAATATTTAGTGAATATTTAGTGAAATTGTGTATTTTCTTTATATTAAAATTTCTTTTTATTAAATTTTCTTTTTATTAAAATTTCTTTCAGTTTTTGACTGAAAATGTGAAAGTGAAGGTATATGTTGAAGAGAGGGCAATGATTATTTGTATTTGTTGGAAGGAGAAGTGGATGATCTGAAACTGGGGTAAACTCAGCACTGGGCTATCCAACTTTATGGATTCTAAAATGTAAATAAGGACAGAGATGATTTGCCTCCTGGGATTCCTTAGTTGGCTATGTGTTCTCCGTTTTTATTATTTATTTCCTATAGTCACTACTGGCTATAATCTGTCTCCTTTGTAGTTACAGGAAGGTACCCAATTTATCACTTCATCTAATTCTTTGACTCCCCTGAGTTCATTTATGGTCTCTCACAATTGGTATATGACCTTGACTTACTGTTGTCTAAGGACTTGCATTACCACTAGGGAGATTACTTTCTCCATCACAGTCTCAGTCTAGCACTCAAAAAAGACAGGGGTTTCTTTAATTGCTAGCATAGGTACATCGTTGCCTATTCTCATCTCCAGGTTTATATTTATATAATCTTTAATAATTTTATATCTGCACACATAAATGTGTGGTGATTGGAGGTCCTACATGCATTATTAAGTGGTTGAACCCATTAATAATTGGATTTATGGCCTGTATGTCCAAAGTGAAAGTGGCTGGAAGAAACTCTTTGGTATGAAGTGACAGAATACTTTTTTATGGTTGGTTTAGTGTGCATCAAGTGTCAACACATATTTTTTGTTAAACACCTGATAGTAAATATTTTGAACTCTGTGGACCATATGATCTCTGTCATAATGCCTCAACTGTGCCAACATAGTCCAAAAGCAGCTATAGACCATAAGTAGATGAATGAGCATGGCTCTGTTCTAATAAGACTTTATTCATAAAAACAGGCAGTGTTTAAGGTTTGCCCCACATGCCATAGCTTGCCAGCTTCTGGCACGATGAATGATAAATGATTTGAAATTACTAATTATAAAATTAAATTATTTCTGTGATTCATTTATATAGCATTTTATTGTTTTAAATTTGTTTCAAAAGATTTTATTTATTTGTTTTTTGAGAGAGGGGAAGGGAGGGAGAAAGAGAGGGATAGATATTTGTGTACTTTCTGGGGCTCTGGTGTTCTAGGCTGGGGATTCCATCTTAGGGTTCAGACCCCATTCTTCTCAGGGAGATCCAACCAGCCACTTAATTATCCCTGTGACCCTGCTGCTTGTGGGCCCTCAGCTAGCCCTCTTGAGTCTCATTCGCACTCCTTACCAGACAGGTTTGCTGAAGCTGATTCTTATGTTTGTCCAAGGTTATAAGGCTTCTCTCTCACTATTGTTCAGTTGTTTGTTCTGGGTGATTTCTCCACAATTTAGTTATAATTCCAGATTGGTCCTGGGAGGAGGTTAATGTGGTTTCCATTCACTCCTCTGCCATCTTGCCTCTCCGAAGTTCTTAATTCTGATAGCGTATCTAAATATGCAACAAGGAATTTATACTTAATTTCACATTATTGAAATCTTTTTCCTTTGAGATCATAACAAAATAAATGTGCTCACTGTTACTATTTCTATTGAACATAAAACACTGACAGCCTAGTCAATGAAATAAGGGAAAAAAAGCAAGATTGGAAAGGAAGAAATCAGTACTATGCAAAGATGATATGATTATGTACCTATTGACATAGGTATCCAAATGATTATATAGACAAGTTATTAGAGTTAATCCAATTTTTAATGATTTTATTAATTTACTTTTATGGAGAGGGGAAGGGAGAAAGAGAGGGAGAGACCATGGATGTGTGAGAGACACATAAATTGGTTGCCCCTTGTTCTTCCGCAGTTGGGGACTTGGCTTGCAACTCAGACACAAGTCCTGACTGGAAATTGATCTGGTGAGCTCTCACTTGCTGGTGGTGCTCAATCCACTGAGCCACACCAACCAGGGCAAATTTAAGCAAATTTAGAAGAATTCTTGGGTATAAATTCAATATATAATAATCAAGTGTATTTTTGTGCTAATAATCAGAAAGTAAATATTACTTGTTGAAGGATACCATAGGTAATGGCATCAAAAAACATTAGCTTTCTAGAATAAATCTAAAGATGTATAAAATATATTTACTGAAAAGTACAAAACTTTATTAAAAGAAACTGAGGAAGACCTAAATAAATTGAAGGCTCTATTATGTTCATGAATGGAAAGATTCAGTATTGTAAAGATACCAGATTTTCCCCCCAATTAATTCCAGTGCAGGGAAATAAAGGCTCAAATCCTCAGACTGAAAAAAACCTGTTTGAGTTGAGGCAGTAGCAGGAGAAACTCCCAGCCTCACAGGAGGGTTTGTTGGAGAGACCCACCAGGTCCAAGAATGTACACAAACCCACCCACCTGGGATCAGCACCAGAAGGGCCCAGTTTGCTTGTGGGTAGTGGGGGAAGTTACTGAAAGCCTGCTGAGAGCCAAGCAAGTGGCATTGTTCCCTCCCAGGCTCCTCCTCCACATACAGTTACTCACCACAAGGATATGGTTTGGCCTGCCCTGGTGAATATCTAAGGCTCTGCCCTTACTATGTAAAAGGTGCACTGAGACAAAAAAATATGGCCCAAATGAAAGTACAGAACAAAGCTGCAGAAAACATACAACTAAGACACAAAGAGATAGCCAACCTATCAGATGCACAGTTCAAAACACTGGTAATCAGGATACTCACAAATATGAGTATGTCAAGTATGAGTATGACTATTTTGTGAGTATGGTCACAAAATAGATGAAAAAGTAAAGGCTATGAAAAATGAAATAAAACAAAATGTTTAGGGAACCAGCACTGAAGGGAAGGAAATTGGGACGCAAATAAATGGTTTGAAGCAAAAGGAAGAAGTAAACTTTCAATCAGAAGAGAATGAAGAAACAATTATTGAAAAAAATGAGGAGAATCTTAGGAACCTCTGGGAAAACTTTAAATGTTCCAACATCAGAATCATAGGGGTGCCAGAAGAAGAAGAGGAAGAGCAAGAAATTGAAAACTTATTTGTAAACATAATGAAGGAGAACTTCCCCAGTCTAGCAAAGGAAATAGACTTCTAGGAAGTCCAGGAAGCTCAGAGTCCCAAAGAAGTTGGATCCAAGGAAGCACAAACCTAGGCATATCATAATTATATTACCCAAGATTAAACATAAGGAGAGAATCTTAAAAGCAGCAAGAGAAAAGGACACAGTTACCTACAAAGGAGTTCCCATATGACTGTCAGCTGACTTCTCAAAAGAAACCTTGCAGGCAAGAAGGGGCTGGAAAGAAGTATTCGAAGTCATGAAAGGCAAAGACTTATATCCGAGATTACTCTATGCAGCAAAGCTATCATTTAGAATGGAAGGGCAGATAAAGGGCTTTCCAGATAAGGTCAAGTGAAAGTTGTTCATCATCACCAAACCCTTACTATATGAAATGTAAAGGGACTTATCTTAGAAAAAGAAGACGATAAAAAATATGAACTGTAAAATGACAACAAACAGAACTATCAGCAGCTGAACCTAAAAAGAAGAAAAATGAACTGTGCAAACATCTAGAAGAGGAAGAGATTCACTGAAATAGAGATCACATGGAGGATATCAGCGGGGAGGTGGAGGGGGAGAAGGGGGGGGAAATGGTACAGGGATATAAGAAGCATAAATAGTAGGTACAAAATAGACAGGGAGGTCAAGAATAATATGGGAAATGGAGAAGCCAAAGAACTTACACGTATGACCCATGGACATGAACTAAGGATGGGGGAATGCTGGTGGGAGGGGGTATAGGGAGGATGGGAGAAATTAATGGGACAACTAATAGCATAATCAATAAAATATATTATTAAATAATAATAAATTCTAAAGACAAAAATGTTCAATTAAAAGATATTTCCCATTGAAATGTATACTTGTAAGATCTTGTGATACTTCAAAATTTTCATAGAATGAAGTAGATTTAGGTACTCTTTTTTTTTTAAAGATTTTATTTATTTATTTTAAGACATTGTGGGAAGGTGGGAGAAAGAGAGGGAAAGAAGCATCAGTGTGTGGTTGCCTCTCACATGCCCCTTACTGGGGACCTGGCCCACACCCAGGTATGTGCCTTGATTGGGAATCGAACTGGCAACCCTTTGGTTCATAGTCCAGTGTTCAATCCACTGACAAGGCTGGGCTGGCTTAGGCAGTCTTAATATTTTGTTGATTTCAGCTGTGATTTATGTATTTATTTATTCATTCATTTATTTATTTATTTATATTTTTATTGTTCAAGTACAATTTTCTGCCTTTCCCTCCATCCCAGCCCACTCCCCAGCCCCCTACACCTCCCTCCTGTTTCTACCCCCCTTGTTATTGTCCATGTGTCCTTTATACTTGTTCCTGCAAACCCTTCACCTTTTTCCCCTGAAATTCCCTCCCCTTTCCCCTCTGGTCACTGTCAGCCTGTTCTCAATTTCTTTGTCTTTGGTTATATTTAGCTTGTTTGTTTGTTTTGTTGATTAGGTGATCTTTAATCATGAATGTTACTTCTGTTTTGTTATATTGCTTAGTTATGCAGACTAGAGAAAGTAGATTATTTGGGAAACCTTCAGTTTGAAATCAGTTTAAGGGTTATATTGAAATATGTAATAACATTTTCCTACTTTAGTTAAATGAAGTAAATGATGAAAATAGGAAGATGGAGATTCAGGCTAAAAGAGTTCAAGCGCGTTTAGATAATTTACAGGTAAGTTGCTTGTGTTCCTTTTTGACACAAATGAATTTTAAAATGCTTGCTTGTAGACCTTCACACTTTTAATGTAATTGTTCTTTAATTCATGGATTTGTGCTGTTGCAGAGGAAGTATGAGTTTATGACAGTACAGAGATTGAAAGGAAATTCCCATGCTGCTCATGAAATAAAAAGTTTAAAACAAGAAAAAATACCAGTTTCGAAAACATGTAAGGTATGATATTGAAATTTTCTCCAGTGGGAAGTCAGGAAGTTTTGTGTTTGTTTTTTAATCTTTCATTTCATTTAGTAAACACTGTTTTTGGTATGAAGGGCATAACCATAATAATACCTTTACAGAGAAATATCTTTGTAATGTTTCAAATATGCATTTATTTTACAAAACAAAACAGTATTTCAGCAATGTTTCAGGTACAGTAACACTGACAAGTCACAGGAAGTTGAGCTTAATGATAGCTTTGTTACTCATTGTGTTTTGAGATTCCATAAGCCTTCATTGTTACTTTTCTACCAAAACTGCAATCTTATCCCTTAGATGGGCTCCATGCATTAACTTTTTTTCCTAAGAATTTATTTTAATTTGAGTTATACAGTAACATAATGCAAGATCCTTAAATGTACATTTTTATCAGTTTTGACAAATGTCTACACTGATATAAACTACAACTAAGCATAGAGCATTTCCATTATCCTAGAAAGTTCCATCATATCCCCTTTTAGTTATTCCTTGCGAGAAATAATTGTTGATCTGATTTCTGTTACCATAATTTAATTTTGCTTCTTTTAGAACTTCATTCAATGGAATTGTATAGTATTTACTTGTTTCTGTGAGGCTTATTATGTTCATAGTTGAATATATCAGGTACTTTGTTCCTCTGTATGGCTCAGCAATATTATATTGTATAAATATGTCACAGTTTATTTATCCCTCTTGTTGATAGACACCTGAGCTGTTTCTAGTTTTTGTTTATTATAAAGATGCTAACAATATTTGTTTAAAAAGCTCTTTGTAGGTACGTGTTTGCATTTTTCTTGGCAGTATTACCAAGGATGGAATTTGTGTGTCATAAAGTAGATATATATTTAACTTTAATGAAACTGTCAGTTTTCAAAAGTGTTTGTATTATTTTATTCTCCTACTGGCTAGCCACGTATAATTGTTCGGGTTGCTCCACAACCATTCCAATATTTGGTGATTTTTAAGTCCTTTTCATTTTGAACTTTCCAGCGGGTAGGTAGTGATATCACATTGTGGGCTTTAATAATTTTGATAAATTTTCTAGTTCTTTTCACAAAGTAAATTGGGAGTTTAATGATGGGGAAAGGATCCTCAGCAATGGAAGCAGGAGTTGCTGTTGGGCAGTCATTCTAAAGGTGTTAATTGGCCAGTAATGAAGTCATCATGGTTCTGCAGAACCAAATTCAGCCAAAGACTGCTGTGCAGAACCATCTGGTTTCAGAGCTGCTGGAGCTATTATTTCCATAATATGGAGTATGCTGAGGATGACCTCCATCAACTGGAGTTCAAGGACCTCCACAAAAAGTACTCCTACATCTTCAAGACTAGGCCTGATGGGAGCTTTTCCTACTGAGCTTTTGGACTCTTCTTTAGTGCAAAGAATTACACTAGTTCAAGGCTGTGTCTGCCAGCATAAAAGAGGATGTGATGTCTCAGGCTTTAGGAGTTCACAGTTGAGGATTTCTATAACACTTTTGTAGACTTGATCTAGCTGGTTAAGAAACAGATCTCAGTAGTCAACCTATTGGCCTCTTTCAGTGAGCAGAGGACCTTGAATAACCTCTCACCTTCTGTTGCCAACATTGTGAGAGCTGTTGCTCAAGCACTTCATTGAAGATGGGCAGCCTGTCAAGGAGTTCTGTCAGCATCAAGTGGTGGTCATGTACAAATGGATTATCCACAGCCATATTGTCACATTGTACAAGACCCTCATTGTCACTGGAATGCAGCGGCAACAGTGAGGGTGGGAATACAAACCTGCACATCTTTCCTAGGTCTCCAAGCTCAAGGTCCTCCTATTCTCCTTGCCTGAATACTATGATTTCTTGTGCAGATAGTCTTGGCCCCATATGGCAGCCATTACTCTGCCTGCCCTTCCCTTTACCAGGAATGAGATATGTACAAAGGTTTTATAGTAGATATAAATGGTCTGTTTTGTGATTAGGATGCCACCCTCAACCCCTTTTCTTGGCATACAACCTTCCATGGATGCTGGTGACAAAACAAATTTTTAATTAAAAAAAGTGGAAGAAGTACCAACATCGTATTTAGTGGGGAAAAAAACTAAAAGCTTTTCCACCAAGATCAGGAATAAGACAAGGATGTCCTCTTTCACTTCTATTCAACATAGTGTTGAAAGTCCTGGCCACAACAATCAGACAAGAAAAGGAAATAAAAGGCATCCATATTGGAAAGGAAGAAGCAAAATTGTCATTGTTTGAAGATGACATGATAGTGTACATAGAAAATCCTATAGACTCCACCAAAAAAACTACATGACCTAAGTGAATTTGGCAAAACAGCAAGATACAAAGTCAATATTTAGAAATCAAAGGTATTTTTGTACACCAACAATGAAATATCAAAAGCAGAAATCAGGGAAAAAAAATCCCATTTCATACAGCAACAAGAAAAATAAAGTACCTAGGAATAAACCTAACCAAGGAGGTAAAAGACCTGTACTCAGAAAACTATACAAATCTGAAGAAAGAAATTAAGGAAGACACAAAGAAATGGAAGCATGTACCATGTTCTTATATTGAAAGAATTAACATCTTTAAAATATCCGTATTACCCAAAGCAGTTTATAGATTCAGAACAATCCCTATAAAATACAAATGATATTTTTCACAGATATGGACCAAACACTTCAAAAATTTATATGGAGCTGTAAAAGACCCCGAATATCAGCAGCAATTTTGAGAAAGAAGAACAACGGAGGATCACAGTACCTGATATCAAACTGTATTACAAGGTCACAGTAATCAAAACAGCCTGGTATTGGCATGAGAACAGACACATAGACCAATGGAACAGAAGAGAGAGCCCAGAAATAAACACAAGTATCTTTGGTCAATTAATATTCAACCAAGAGAAGAATAATTCAACCAGAATTCAACCAGAAAGAAGAATAAAATGGAGTAAAAATAGCCTCTTCAGGAAATGGTGTTGGGAGATCTGGAAAGCTACATGCAAAAAAATGAAACTTCACCACCAACTTACACCATATACAAAAATAAATAAAGTGGATAATAGACTTACATAAAAGTCACGACACCATAAATGTCATGGTGTTTCTTCAAGAGAACATAGGCAGGGAAATCTCAGATATTCCACACAGCAATATTTTCACTGATGTGCCCCCTAGAGGAAGGGACATAGAGGAAAGAATAAATAAATGCAACATCATTAAAATAAAAAGCTTCTGCACAGCTAAAGAAAACTTCAGCAAAATGAGAAGAGAACCAACTGTATGGGAAAATATGTTTGAAAATGATACCTTGGACAAGAGTTTGATCTCCAGTATATATAAAGAACTCACATGACTCTACTCCAGGAAAACAAGCAACCCAGTTACAAAAATTGGCAGAGGACCAGAACATACACTTCTCCAAAGAGGACATACAAAGGGCCCAGAGACATACGAAATGATGCTCAACATCACTAGCCATCAGAGAGATGTAAATTAAAACCACAATGAGATACCACTTCACAATGGTCAGAATGGTTCATAAACAAATAACAAACAACAAGTGCTGGCAAAGTTGCAGAGAAAAGGGAATCCTAGTACACTGTTGGTGGGAATGTAGACTGATGCAGCTACTATAGAAAACCTTATGGAATTTCCTCAAAAAACTAAAAATGGAACTGCCTTTTGAACTGGTAATTCTGCTGCTGAGACTGTACCTTTAGAGTTTTGAAATGCCAATTCAAAAGAACCTATGCACCCCAATGTTCATAGCACACTTTACTATAGCCAAGTGCTGGAAGCAACCTAAGTGCCCATTAGTAAATGAGTAGATCAAAAAACTGCGGTAAATTTACACAGTAGAATACTACACAGCAGAAAGAAAGGAGCTCCTACTCTTGGCAGCAGCATGGATGAGTCTGGAGAGCATTATGGTAAGTAAAATTAGCCAGGCAATGAAAGACAAATACCATATGATTTCACCTCTAAGTGGAATCTAATCAACAAATCAAACAAGGAAGCAAAATATAACCAGAGACATTGAAATTAAGAACAAACTGACGGTGACCAGAGGGGAGGTGGGAGAGGATAAAGAGAGCAAAAGGGGAAAGGGTTGTCAGGAATATGTATAAATGACTCATGGACAAAGCCTAAGGAGGGGATGGGAGCTGGGGAGGCTGGGGTGTGGGTGAGTGGTGGGGGGAAATTGGAGACAACTGTACTTGAATAACAATAAAAATATAAAATAAAAAAGACAAAATAAATGAACAAACACAACAGAAACAAACTCAGACATACAGAGAATGTTTTGATGGTTGCCAGTTCATTCTTTTTTATGGCTAAGTAGATTGGCATGTATTTATCACAGTTCATTTATTTGCTCATTTTTGATCCACATTTGGATTGTTTCTAGGTCTTCATTATTATGAATAAAGTCTCTATGAACATGTAAAAAAGGGGGAAAAAGTGGAGCTTTTTTTCTTTTTAATATATTTTGATTATGCTATTACAGTTATCCCATTTTTCCCCTTTATTGCCCTCCACTCTGCACACCTTCTCCCACCTGCATTTCCCACCTTTAGTTCATGTCCATGGGTTGTACATATAAGTTCTTGGCTTCTACATTTCCTATATTATTCTTTATTTCCCCTTGTCTATTTTCTACCTACCATTTATGCTACTTATTCTCTGTACCTTTCCCCCCTCTCTATCACTTCTGCTCCCACTCCCCCACTGATAACCCTCCATGTGATCTCCATTTCTTTGTTTCTGTTCCTGTTCTGGTGGTTTGCTTAGTTTCTTTTTTTTCTTTGCTTTTTTTTTTTTTTAGGTTCAGTTTTTAATAGCTGTGAGTTTGTTGACATTTTACTGTTTGTATTTTTAATCTTCTTTTTCTTAGATAAGTCCCTTTAAAATTTCATATAATAAGGGTTGGGTGATGATGAACTCCTGTAACTTGACCTTATCTGGGAAGCACTTTATCTGCCCTTCCATTCTAAATGATAGCTTTGCTGGATAAAGCAATCTTGGCTGTAGGTCCTTTATGACTTTTATGTCATAAGGGACATAATGACTTGGAATACTTCTTTCCAGCCACTTTTTGCCTGAAAGATTTCTTTTGAGAAATCAACTGATAATCTTATGGGATCTCCTTTGTAGGTAACTATCTCCTTTTCTCTTGGTGCTTTTAAGATTCTTTCCTTATGTTTAATCTTGGGTAATGTAAATGTGATGTGCCTTGGTGTGTGCTTCCTTGGGTCCAACTTCTTTAGGACTCTGAGCTTCCTGAACTTCCTGAAAGTCTATTTTACCAGATTGGGGAAGTTCTCTTTCATTATGTTTTCAAGTAAGTTTTCAATTTCTTGCTCTGCCTCTTCTTCTGGCACCCCTATGATTCTGATGTTGGAACATTTAAAGATGTCCTGGAGGTTCCTAAACCCCTCCTCATTTTTCTGAGTTCTTGTTTCTTCATTCTGTTCTGGTTGAATGTTTCTTTCTTCTGCTCCAAACTGTTGATATGAGTCCTGGTTTCCTTCCCTTCACTGCTGGCTCCCTGTACGTTTTCTTTTATTTCACGTTTCCCTCTATTTTGCCACCATATTCATCCAATTCTTTGAGCATCCTGATCACCAGTGGTTTGAACTGTGCATCTGATAGGTTGGCTATCTCTTTGTCTTTTAGTTGTATTTTTTCTGGAGCTTTGATGTGTTCTTTCATTTGGGCCTTTTTTTTTTTTTTTGTCTTGGCCTACTTGTTACATTGTAAGGGACAGAGCCTTAGGTGTGCACAGGGTAGGGCAACCCTAGTCACTGCACTGTGACACCGTATGTGTGGGAGGGGTCCGAGAGGGGACAGTGCCACTTGCTCCATTCTCTGCTGGTTTTCAGTCACTTCCCCAGCTACCCACAATCAAATTGGGCCCCTCTGGTGTGCATTCCTGGGTGGGTGGGTTTGCGTACATTCTAGGACCCTGTGGGTCTCTTCAACAAACTCTCCTGTGCGGCTGGCAGTTTCTCCTGCTGCTGCCTCAACCCCCACAGGTGTTTTTAGTCAGAGGCCTTGAGGCTTTATTTCCCCAAACTGGAATCCTGGGTTGTGTGGTCTATCTTGCTCCCCACTTGTTCCTCTGGGTTTATCTGAACGTGAATGTGGGTCCGCCAAGTCCACAAGCCACCACCTCACCTGGTCCTCCAGCCACTGTCTTTACTGTGAGTCCGCTCTACCTGGCTCCCCATCTCCACCGTTCCTGCTGGTGTGGTTGAGTGTTTCTTCTTTAACCCCTTGGTTGTCAGACTTCTATACAATTAGATTTTCTGTCAGTCCTGGTTGTTTTTTGTTTTTAAATTTGTTGTTGTTTTTCTTCCGGTATGGGACGAGTTACAGTGTGTCTTCCTATGCCTCTATCTTGGACTGAAGTCAAAAGTGGAGTTTTTAACTCAGATACTGAAGATGATTTTAATTTTTATCTGAAGATTTTACTTGAAGAAGATTTAGAAGATTAAAAGTATTTTATACATATTAATGTAACATTTTTTTACTTGTTTTTATTGTTGTTCAAGTACAGTTGTCTCCATTTTCCCCCCATCACTCTCCCCCTGCACCCCAGCTATCCCCATTTCCCACCCTTGATCCTGTACCGGTTTGGTTTTGCCCACGTGTCTTTTATACATGTTCCTGAAAACCCTTCCCCATTTCCCACCCATTATCCCCTCCCCCCCTTATTACTGTCAGTTTGTTTTCAGTCATCTGATTCTGTTTTGATGGATTGCTGTCTGCTTTATATTACCTTTTTATTAGTTTTTATTAATTTCCTTTTGTATTTATGTCTTTTAAGATTTTTAAATATCTAATTAAATTTAGCATGGTTTTCTGCTTAAAGTAGATATGTTATAAATATTGAATTAAATTGAGTAAAATTGATTTTAAGAAATACTAAAATTAGTCTAATTTAACATTTAAAATTTTTGTGGTATTATTTTTTCTCATTTTGGTAACATGTCAGCAAACAGCATTTCCAAGAAAAAAACTTGAAAATGCTGTAATATAAAGAAATAACATTTTGCAGGAGAAGGAAATATAAATTTTTATGATACTACTCGTTCACCTTTTGAATTATTTAATTTATTAACATCTTTTAGTTATGGTGGTTCGTGCCCTCAAATTGGACCAATTTTAATTTTTTTATATTATCAATATTGGATGAAGAATTTTCATGAAAGTTTTCCATTTTTGTAATGAGGTGCAGTACTTTCAATTTCCTTATTATGATGAATTTTATTCTCTTAGCTAGCATTTAATATGTTTCTAATATTAATTGGAGCTGTTTGATATGGGATTTCTTTCATTTGGAGCTTTTTGAAACATTTTAGTGAAGTGCTTTAGGTATACTCACTTAAAATTTAAAGCTTGCCTTTGAAGTTTTATGAGGTTGTGAACTGAAATGTTTGATTTAATTTTTTACATACAGGTACAACTTAATGCACAAGTTTATGAACTTTTAACTATCTTCATGGACTGGATATCAGATTATTACCTTAGCAAATTGAAAAGTGAAGGATCTGGAATGGGTGGTGAAAGTCCTGTACTAAAATTTGCTTCTCAGAGAAATGATATTCAGGAGAAGTGTGTAAAGGTTCGTTTTTTTCATTTGAAATATATGACTCTGTATACATGAAGATTTAGAAAGGAAAGCCTCTGGTATATTTTACAAGAGAAAAAATAAAGTATTTTTGGTAGAAAATTGACCATGCCAATAGTTGTATAAAGATACATTTCACATTTAATTGTAATTAATGCATATATATTTCTTAACACGATAGGCATTTCTCTTTAAAAATAGAGACCAGAAATTAAAGACCTACCCTCAAAATGGAAAAATAATTGTATAGTAGAGTTAGGCAAATAATCAGTGATGTGAACACACCATTTTAAGGTCATTCCCACTAAAATAACTTATTTTGCCTTTTGTTATAAAGGGATAAAATATCTATTTTCAAGGGTCCTCTCATTAACAAAGAGAAATAATGGTTTTGTTAAATTGCAGACATTAACTTGGATATTGGTACTTGTGATTTGTAGTTGGTATAAATGGCCATTAGTGATCGACAGTTATATTCCACAAGAAATACCTTAAACATTTGAAGATTATACATCTAAAGTTGTTTGTTTGGTTTAATGTTTTCAGAAACAATTTTATGATTATCCTATAGCTGACCAGGATTTCATATTACGAAATTATTTTCTGTTTTCATCCTCACCTAAAAAGTTTCTTCTAAATGCCTTTTATGCTACACAGAATAATAGCCCCCAGGATGTTTATATCCTAATCCCTGGAACCTGTTAGTATGGCAGAAGTGAATTAAGGTTGCTAATCAGTTGACCTTCAATTAGCGATTACCCAGTGTTATCTGGGTAGGCTGAGTAATCACAGGAACTCTTTAAACCATGGCAAAAGAAGCATGTGGATACATGAGGGACTTAAGTCATCTTTGCCGGCTTTGAAGATGCAGTAAGAGGCCCATGAGCTAAGAAATGCTGGTCACTTCTAGAAGCAGGAATAACCTACTGCTCATATTAGCAAGGAAACAGGGATTTCAGTCCTGCAACTACAGGGAATGGAATGATGCTAACACCCTGAAATAAATAAAAAAATGGATCCTCCCCTAGCCTCTAGAAAGGAACATAGCTCTGCTTACATCTTGATTTTAGCTGCTTGAGACTGTAATTAGATTTCTGACCAGCAGAACTGTAAGATAATAAATTTGCATCCTTTTTTTTTAATTTAAAAAATTTACTGATTTTAGAGAGAGCGTGTGCACAAGAAAAAGAAACATCTATTTGTTGTTCCATTTATTTATGCATTCATTGGTTGCTTCTTTTATGTGCCCTCACTGGGGATAGAACCCACAACCTTGGAATATTGAGATGATGCTCTAACCAACTGAGCTACCCAGCCAGCACCTAAATTTGCATTCTTTAAACCAGTAAAATTGTACTGATTTGTTATGGCAGCAATAGGAAACAAATGTACCTTTGCTTAGAATTTTGTCTTTTACCACCTGTGTGAACTATCCTGTCTATATCTAGCCTTACTTTAAAAGTAGCTGCTGATTAGGAAGGGCTACAGTGTTAAAATTCTGTGGAGAAATTTTGTTCTGCTAGAACTGGGTGTGATAGGATAGTACCTAGGATATTAAGGTTAAAAAATGACAATTTTAACTAATGGAATATGGATTGTATAATATTCTGTTTTTATATCAGATTAATGGTGTAAGAGAAGATTGTTAAGCACATTTGTCACAGGATTCCTTTTATCATTCTTAAAATATAGACATTGACTTATTCTGGACTAACAACTTTTGTTGAGCTTAAATCCTTAACTAAAATATTATTTGCAATTATGGCTACTATCACATTAGTAAAAGTAAGATAATTTTAAAGCTTAGAATAGCTTTTATGATAGACTAAGAAGAAAATAAATAGTACCAAATTAGTAAATTAATTAATTAAATATATTAGTGACCATCACAAGCAAGTATTAAGATTTTTTTAGGAATATATACAATTTGTGGTTATATAATAATATAGCCCCCTTTTTTGAAACTTTTGTAATAGCATTATTGTATGAAGCACTTTGTTCACTATATTTAAGTATGTTTGCCTGTATGACTCAAACAATTTTGCCAAATAATTTCTCCCAAATTACCTTTAAAAACTGCTCATGTATATTTTTTTACACCTCTGATCCAGTATCATTTGAGGATTGATTTTTAATACTTTAAAACATACATACAAAATACTATTGGGAATAAATGTGGTAAATTAGGTAGATAATCAAATTGGTATACCTTATAAGACTGATTTTCTCGTGTGTCTCAAATACAGAGAGTTGGAATGTTTTCAGAGAAACTGAGAACAATGTAACTCAGTACAACTCTAAGTGGAATCTGCTATGATGTGTTAAAAAATGATGGTTGAGCCCTGGCTGATGTAGCTCAGTGGATTGAGCACAGGCTGCAAACCAGAGTAACCGGTTTGATTCCTAGTCAGGGCACATGCCTGGGTTGTGGGCCAGGTTCCCAGTAGGGGGCATGCAAGAAGCAACCACATATTGACATTTCTCTCCCTCTCTTTCACCTTCCCTTCCCCTCTCTCTAAAAATAAATAAATAAAATCTTTTTTAAAAATGATGGTTGAAAAGTATCTGTGGAAGATTGACATCATCAAGATGGTAGAATGGGGAGCACTAGCCCTTATTCCCCTACAGAGAGACACTGCAGTAACAATATACTGACCAAAACACGATTGTATGTACGAATTTTAGAGACAAGTTGAGAAGCTGCAGCACCCAGGCCAACACATAACTAGGAACACACTCCATCAAAAGGAATAGGAAAGTTTCTGACATTTTTAATGCCTTTCTTTTGTATGCCATAACACAGTGTAATCAGGAGAAAATATTCCTATACCATAGCTCCTCCATTGGGATAAAAGTGGACTGTGTGTCCAAGATTTTAACTTTAGTTAGAGACTAGCTGCAGGACTAGTTTCTTTTTCTGACTCAGGGTGCTGACAAGAACATTGGTATAGTTTGGAAGCCTTAAAAATAGATATGAGTGCTATAGTATGATATGAGTGCTACACTTCCAAATGCAGATGGCAGTGGAGAAAGAGATTATGGGTTCCTGAGAGAAATGAGTAGCCACATTAGAAAATAAGACAGTTAAAAGCACACATTCCTAGAAAAGTTTAGAATGACAAGCTGGGCTGATTGGTGAAGGTATCCTGCATAAAGCCAGAGAGTTATAAAGGCTGGAAGAGGTGTTTATTTTTTATTTTATTTTGTCATATGCCCAAATGAAAAAAAAAAGATCACCAGGCATATAAAGAAAAGGGGACACATGGCTTAAAGGAACAAAACAAAGCTCCAGAATTCTACCATAAAGAAATAAAGATCTCTTAACTTTCAGACTTCCAGACAAAGAATTTAAAAACTCTCTTAAAGAAGCTACTAACTGTGTCTGAGATTTTGTTGCTTACATTTTCTTCTAGGATTTTTATGATTTCAGGTCTAACATTTAAGTATTTTATTTCATTTTGAATTTATTCTTGTGAGTGGTGTAAGAAGGTGGTCTAGTTTCATTTTTCTCCATGTATCTGTCCAATTTGCCCAACATCATTTATTGAATAAAGTGTCTTTAGCCCATTATATGTGCTTGATTTCTCTGTTGAATATTAATTGACTATAAAGGTGTGGGTTTATTTCTGAGCTCTCTATTCTGTCCCCCAGGCAAGAGTGTGTGTTTGTTTATTTTCGGGTTCTATTCTGTCCCCTGAGGAAAGAGAAACAAAAGAAAAAAAATAAACAACTGAGGCTACATCAAACTAAAATATTTTTGCACAGCAAAGGAAAACAGCAACAAATAAACAACCCACAATATGGGAAACATATTTGCCAACACATTACATAAGGGGTTAATGTCCAAAATTTACAAAAGTTAAGCTTTGGACATTTGGTTAATGTCCAGAACTAGAAAACTCAACACCAAAAAAATAAGTTTTAGACATTAACCAAATGTCCAAAGCTACAAAATTCAACACCAAAAACATAAGCAGGCCAATTAAAAGATGGGCAAAGGGCCTGAGTAGACACTTCTCTAAAGAGGACATACAGATGGCCCAGAAACATGGAAAGATGCCCAATATCACTAATCATCAGAGCAATGCAAACTAAAACCACACTGAAATATGTCATACCTGTCAGAATTGTTATCATCAACAAATCAGCAAAGCACAAGTACTGGCAAAGGATGTGGAGAAATGGGAACTCTTTTGTACTGGTACTGTTGGTGGGAATGCAGACTGGTACGGACACTGGAAAGCAGTATGAAGATACCTCAAAAAGTTAAAAATGGGTTTGTCTTTTGACCCAGTGATTCCCACTTCTCGGAATACATCCAAAGGAACCCCAAACACTAAATAAAAAAAACGCAAGCACCCCCATGTTCACTGCAGCGTTATTTATAATCACCATGATATGGAAGCAGCTCAAATATCCATCGGTAGATGAATGGATAAAACAGCTATGGGATATTTACACAATGAAATCTTTATTGGCATTTTCACTCCTGGGAAAAGGGAAAAAAAAATTTTACCCTTTGTGACATTATGGATGGATCTGGAGATCATGAGGCTGAATGAAATAAGCCAATCAGAGAAAGACAAACACCATATAATTTCACTTGTGGAATTTAATGAACAAACTGAACTAATAAGCAAAGTAGAGATGGACTCAGAATGCTGAATGGATGACAGCTAAGGTGTGGGGAATGGTAGAGGGTGGAGAGATTGAGCAAAAAAAAAAAAAAAGTCCTCGTGGGCATGGACAGTAGTGTGATTGTGAGAGTAGGGGAGTATAAGGGGACTAAATGGTAATGGAAAAATACAATAAAAATATACCAAGAAAAATAAGTTCAATGACACAAAAGAGAACACAAATTGAAAACTAAGCAAAATCAGGAAAACCAAGTTCTGGAGCTGAGGAATACAATGATTGAACTGAAAAATTTATTAGAGAGGCTTAACAAGAGATTTGATCATGCAGAAGAAAGAATCAGCAAAGGTAAAGACAGA